GGCAATGAGCAGGGCAAGAATGACAGGAGCAGGAAATGAACATGACAAGGCAGACAGAAGCAGGATCATAACAGTCTGTCTGTTCTGTAATCATTTTCCTGAACACATGATTTTGATATACAGCTTTTATAGAATTATAACATTTTCCATCAATTCCTGCTTTTAATAACTGGAAATATAACAATTCTTGATTAACACAATCAAAAACTTTTTGGAAATCTATAAACACGCAAAAGGGGACTTTCCTTCTTGTCTCCTAACATTAACTATTGTGGTTAAATAATATATATGATCTATACAGGCTCTTTTCTATCTAAACCCTTTTTGTTCCTCTGTCAATAAATTACAAGATTCTAAATACTTAACTAACCTTTAATTTAGAACACGAGTAAAGTTTATGAACAGAACTAAGTAGACTAATGCCTCTTTAATTCAACCTGAGGATCAGTAATCTGAGACTTCATGATTGATTTAATTATAGATTTTTGCCAATCAGACAGGACCAAACACTGTTCAAAACGTGAAGTAAAAAAGTTTTATATAGAATTTGAAACAAACCAGKTTGTTTTAAGACYTCATTTGACAAATGATCRTARCCCTTAGCTTTCCTAAACTTTAACTTGTCAATAGCCTTATGAAGTTCAKTTTCTGAAATATGAGAGTTTMAATGAAGATTKGAGGTATTCAYTGGCATAAAATGATCAAATTGATTCTTAATAGTTACTGTCCTTTTTTAAATAAGAACGATCCCATTCAGGGGAGACAAGACTACCAGAGAATAAAGCTCCAAGGTCAGTTTACCACTTTTTCACATGAGCCATCCTCCTGAACCACTTCTAAAAGGACATTTTTAGATTTTCTGAGGCCTAATTGATTTATGAAATCCCAAAATGCCTGAGGATTATGAGTTTGATTAAATTCAATCCTTACTGCTTGACCTGGCTGATATTTTCTCTTATGTTCTGTCTTTTATCACATATACTTTGTCTTTAAATTAAAATTTTAACAGATGTTTTAAATACTTATGATATGTCAAAAATCTTTTTTCAGCAAATTTCATATCATTCCATAAAACATTAAATTCCTCATTCTAGTAAAATCTGTTTMTTTTGCCTTGTTACTTATTTTTACCAATAAAGTTTTTACTGAGTCATAAAAATACTTGCAAATACTTTCATGTTATTCATTCATCAAAATTTGATGATTAACATGATTTAGCTGGTCTACAATCTTACTAGCCACAGATTGTAATGAGAAAAGGACATGATAAGAGTTTTCTAGTAAAGCATTTTTAATTTAAAGTAACCTGACTCTCACCAGAAATGTGACTGACATTTCCCTGTCCACTAAATGTAACAAAAGTAAAAGTGACCCTAATACAAACAAGGCACTGTGTTGGGTTTTCAGGTGAAGTTCATGAAGAGTGTTCCTGGAACAGCACTCGTGGAGATGGGAGATGAATACGCTGTGGACCGAGCAGTGACTCACCTCAACAGCATCAAGGTGTTTGGAAAGAAACTCAATGTCTGGTAAGAAATTACACTTCTTCAACTTACAATAAAGAGTGAAATGTGGGGTTTGGATGGTGGTTTGAAGGGGCATGACAGTACATTGCCAGATTTATTTTGATTGTCAATTTCTGATGATTTTAAAGGGTTGACTTTGAAGGTATGTTCTGTCAAATAGTTATTAATACTTCACTAGCAAAGACCACGCCACAAAGATAAATTGAAGGTTTATTGCAAGAAGGGGATGAGTAGATGGATTAACTAGAAATGAGGACTGGTCATCTTGGGAGACTGCCAAAAAGCTTGAGAGATGAAGACTCAGTGTGGGGGTGCACCCTGGTGCACCCTTCAGGGAAAATGGCTTTCGTTTTTCATTTTTTTCCCTGAAAGTGTCAATGTCTCATCTCATTCTTCAGGCAATTAGATGGTCAGTGCCTCATCTCTTTCTTCATTCCCTGAGGGGGGTCAATACCTCATCTCATTCTTCATTCCCTGAAAGAGTAAATGCTTCATCTTATTCTCCAGTCACTGAGTTTCTCACCTTATCTCTAAGGGAGAGCTCAGACACCCTGCGGAGGAAACTCATTTCGGCCACTTGTATACGCAATCTCATTCTTTCAGTCACTACCCAAAGCTTGTGRCCATAGATGAGGGTAGGAATGTAGATTAACCGCTCCCGCTTCACCACAGCAGACCAGTACAGCTCGCGCATCACTGCCAACGCAGCACCAATCCGCCTATCGATCTCCCGCTCCATTCTTCCCTCATTCGTGAACAAGACCCCGAGACACTTAAACTCCTCCATTTGGGGCAGGATCTCTTCCCAGACCTGGAGAAGGCACCCTAACAATTTCTGGCTCAAGACCATGGTCTCGGATTTGGAGGCACTGATCCTTATCCCAGCCGCTTCACACTCAGCTGCGAACCGCTCCAGTGAGAGCTGGAGATCAGGATCCGATGAAACCAATAGGAC